AGCACAGAAATACCATCCTTGGTCTTTTGGCTCCAGTTTGTTCACTGTGAATGTCCCAGTCTCAGCAACAGTCTTGCTGGCTGAAAATTTCTCTGTGTCGAAATCTCCATAGTCATGCTCATTATCTTTTTTGCCCGTTGTTGCAAACACAATTAGTGTCATGGTTTCTCCAGGTAGCTGTCTGAACCAGTACATCCAGAGATAGTCACTACCCTTCGTGTGATTACACTGCATTGTTGCACTTTTACCCTCCCTGTCCCACAGACTGAGTGTCTGCTGGACATCACTTCCATCAGCACCACCTGTGTGTAGAGGAGTGAAAGTTAAAGAAGTAAACATTTTAACTCTTGCAGAAGACAGTTTCCCAGAATGTTAGATTTCTAGAATATGCATGATAGCCTTACACTACTGTACCTTTTATCCAGAGCACAGATACCAACAAGCTGAGCAGACTGTGTCTGGTGATAGCCATGTTCTAAAACTAAGAGTGTCTTTATTCTGTCAGTGTAGTTACACTGATATGAAGAGTTACAGGTAGGTGTGTCACTGCAGTGTGCCACATTGATCATGTGGGCTGATTTGCCAATAATTAATATATTTTTTATCAATATAAATTAAAACAGTGTAATCAGTAAATCTTTGAATGTGGTTGGTGCAGGTGGTTGTCACTCTTCTCTGAGAGATGCAACAAGTTAATTGTAGTTGTTATGTTTCATTTTAATATTCAGACTATGTTAGGAATATATCAAAGAATACAGTACACAAACCAAAAAGAATGTAATTTAAATGCAAAAATACTCTAATCTCTTTAACAGTAATCTGTTTAATTTGCAGAGGTTTTTGTTGAACTCTCTGCTGTGTCTCTATTTCGACAGTATGGGGTCTGTCTGTCATCATTCCCATCAACACAACCTGCGTGTGTATAACAGTGCAGAATTCCATGTTGTCCCAGCTTCACACAGATTAAATAAAGACCTGCTGGTGAGTGTGTCCCTGCACTGTGAATTGTCAGTAACTATGTTGGTGTGGTGGTATTGTGGATCCCCCTTTGGTACATCCCAGTATATTTGATCTCATCATGCAATACGATTGGTTATCTATTTTTTCTTTTCAAAATCACAGACACACATTAGTGCTTAAAGATGTAAAGATTAACACTTACTATCACAATTTAGTAATAATGTAGTAACAGTAGACTAACTATGTGGAAACAAGAAGGAAATATTGAAGTCTGTGAAGTTTTTATACATATAAATTGTTCTAATTGAATAAATAAATACAATGAATGCACATTAACAGGCTTCTATATATTTCACATATGGCTCAAATGCCATTGTAAAAGCTTGAACCATCAGATTCCCCAGCTTCCCTAATAAATTTTTATTATCTTACATCTAGTCCAATATACATTAAAAAAGAAAAATGAAGACTGTTTAAAACATAAGATGAGAAAACGCTGACACTTCTGTGAAAGTGGGTGAGAACAGACACTATGGCATTATAGAAGAACAGCTAATTTTATTAGTAGGTAATAGGCATACTGGAGAAATTGCAAGCAAGAGTATAAGTAGCCCTTTTGTTATTTCCTTAAAAGGTGTCTTCTGCAGCTCCTTCAAGTACAGTTAGTTTGGGAAGTATCTTAGAATTTTTTTTGAAGATGTCTGCAGGAGTTTGTGAGTATTTCATGATTGTAAAACTTGCAATAGTTGATTTTCATACATGCTCTGAATTCAACAACAAACTGCTTCAAAGGCCAGTTTGGACATTTAAATTAAGTCATGACAACAGTTTACATGAGCAAAACTCTACTCTTACTTTACTCTCCTTGAAATCACTGTCAGAGACTTTATGCTTTGACTGCTGTCGCGCAGGTTTATCCAGCAGAGGTCACCCTGAGATCTGTTGAGCTGAATCCTGCAGACTGTACACATGTACAGACTTCACTGAGCTGAAGCTCAGACAAGGTGAGTATAACTGTCAGGATGCCGTCAAACAGTGCCAATAAATGGATCTGAAGTATTAGCTGGAGAGGAAGAAGAAATAATATTGTGGAAATTCTGTTCATTTTTCATAGAATCTACACATCTGTTGTGCCTCTTTGTTTCTTTTAAGAAGTATACATATAATGAAGAATCAGCATACCCTTTGCCTGATATAATTTCTAATAGTTTTTTGTGGGGTTTTTTTTTTTTTTTTTGGATGAAGTGTAACAGATGTACCGGTTGCAATAATACTGTAATAAATACTGTAATACAACTTCAGTACCCACACAAAATAAATGTGCTGCTTCTAATGTATGATAGATTAACTGAATTGAATCGATGATGTCTTCGTCACTATTTTTGCATCTCTGAATACAAAACATGAGTTTGTACCACAAGGGGTCATGCAGCATAACTAAGATTTCGTTTACAGTGATGTGCAGAAGTCTAAGACCACCCCTCCGTTTGCATTTTTGTTGTCTTGAACAATAGTTCCCAGTTCTTTTCTAGTTTGTTGAACATTGGCTCAACTTTGGCTGCTTTCTCTCATTACTTATTTTCAGTCTAGTCCTTGTACCTGTCTTTGTCCTGGTTCAGAGGAATTATTTTGGTTTTCCCAAAAAGACTGATTCTGTTCATCTGGACGTAGCGTTCTCAGTGGGAGAAACATGATTGAGCCTCCTTCAAGATGTTTTTGTTTTTGTTTCTACTTAACACCACTAAACACCTGAGTCATTCATGCACAAAAAGGTACCTAACTCAAGGGATGAATGAAACAATTTTAGATAGTAATAAATGTATAAAGATACAATCAGACTGTTAAAAAGCATAGAATTTCCCCAGTGTGGAAAATCTATCTTATCTCTTTATATGATTTCTCATTGAAACTGTGTGTTGGAGATCTTGTCAAAATTGAAAGAATGAAGAACATAGAAAACGTGAAACGTGATAGATTTTAGTCTGCTTTTCATCACCATTTGGAGCACATACTATTGGAAACAGATTCATTTTTCAGCATTAACAACCCAACAATCCCAAACACGCTGCCACACTTTTTAGAATAATTTTTGCTTCGTAATTTTAGTGCTCTTGCTGCAATGAGGGATGAGAAAGATAATTTTACTCCCATATTAGCTTCTCTTCATTGGCTCAGTGTTAAATCCTGAATATAATTTGAAATTCTTTTCTTCACATATAAGGTGAAGGAAAAATCAAGCCTGTCATATCTTAAAGGGGTCCTAGTTCCATATTGTCCCCAGAGCACTTTGCTAGGCTTTCCCTCCCTAAGCCTGGCTCTGCTCTATGTTTGCATGTTTCAATAAATGTCTGCACCTATTTCCCATTTTCTTAGGAAAATATAAAGAAGGGTGCCTCAAGAGTTTTGCAGAGTCCCTGCTTGGAACTGAACATGAGGATGCAGCATCTTGTTTGTGTTTTTGCTGAAGTGAGTTAGCGTCTGTTTTTTATTATTTTTATTTCACCTTTAGTTTTATGTAACAAACATTATCCTATGAGTTACCTCTCTTGGTAAATGTGATAGAAAAAACAATAATAATGCATATTCATAGTGTTCTAGGAAACTTTCTTATTGTCATTTCTTTGTTACCTGAAAAATATTTGTACACAAACAAAACACACAAAAACAAAAATACATTGTCAGTGTGAGACTCTGCAGTTTGAATACTTTTGTTACAGGATGTTTTCGTTTGAGCTCTCTACAGCCATTATAAAAATGACCAAAATAACTATACTTTAGATTGCATAGTTCTCTCTTTTAATTGAATCTTCAAATACAGTTGATTATTAAGTTATTGTATAGTTTTTGGAATGCATTATCTTTGCTCTGTTATTCTAAAATCATAAATATTTACATTTAAATTATGAAAGATATGGAAAATTTCCACCTATAAAGATCAAGGTTTCCCAAAGGAGCTATAATTATCTTGCACGTGTTTATAGCTCCATATTTCCATTGCTGCCTCACAGATGTTATTTTCTGTTTATCTGACAGGAGCAACCGCAAACATGTTTTTAAAGGAAGCAAATGAGGAAAGTAGAACACATTCTTCATCTCACCGGGGCACTGACAAGAAAAACAAGATGTAGTGAACGGTTTAGACAAAAGCGATTGTGTAACTGCTTTCACTCAAACACCCTCAGTGGGGGGTTTTTTTCATTGCTTAAGCATGCATTCAAAAAATAGTTGCCATTTGACAGCAGCACAATTAACTTTACATTTCTTATCTGCTCCAACTAAAAAGATTCAAATAGAAATATCTGTTCCACATCAGACTTAAGAGCTGTTGTAGGTGTTGTAATTTTATTGCTTTGGTTAACACAGAAATGGAAGTTTTTCCATCTGTTTGCTCATTAATGTGCAGAGCGGGGAGTTGATGCAAAGCTGCAGGTGCACACTGTGAGCCGGAGGTTGTGGTAAAGTGGAAGGTTGCACCTCCGTCGTTTCTCAGCACAGAAAGCGAGCTGCAGGCTGCTCTGTGACCACATCCTCTCCTCTGCTGTTGCACTTTACTCCTCTGCAGGGTTTCATGCCCTGGTTTGACTTTTTTGCTTTGACCTTCTTTAGTACACAGATGACTGTTGTTACGTGTACACTCACATTCTTATAGTTTCCTACTGACAGCTTTTTACATAAAGAGAATGTAAAATGTAATAAAACTGACTTATATGTGCAAAGTGAAAACAGAAACAATGAAAAACAGCCTACTTTAAAAAGGTCATTATGTATTTAAAATAGCAACGTTTCTCAGAAAATGTACATCACCTTTCAATTTCTATGTTTATGACCAAAAATGAACCAACTTCTGAAGCTTTTCTGAGTTGAGATGCTTCAGTATTATGTAGGAAGAAAAGGAACTGACTTCTCTGAAAACAGTCATGATCGGCAAACAGGAAAGAATGCATTTTATCGCTGGAAAAAATCTTGTTCTGTGTGAGGTGAGATGTGGGTGCAGAGAGGGGGAAAAGGCAAAGTCAAAAGGAAAGAAATGACTGAAAAGATCCTCTCATAAATGTTTATTGATATGAAAATGAAGCATTAAGTGGAAATTGTTCAGCAAGAATACAGCCAGTGTTTCATAAACACAATAAAACAAAACTAAAATTAGCCAAACTTACTTTCATGCATTAGCTTTAATACTATATGAAGATTTAACTTTTGCATAGACCTGCAGCACACAAAGTTGTGGCAATAAAATCAGCATCTTTTATAATTTTTATTTACAAAAAACATAAATGATCCAAGTCCCAAATCTTTGGTCAGTCCACAGCTCAGCTCTTATTTTTTACGTTTTCCTGGTGAACTCTGTAACACACATAAAGGATAATCTGTGTTAATGCCAAGCAAACAGTTGTATTTGCTTTTATTTTTGTTGTTTTTATTTTTTTAAGGACAATGTAATTGGAGTTCATGTTCAACAAACCTGCAGCCTCCACACCAAAAATCCAACAAAGGCTCCATAGAGGCAGCTCTTGAAGATAAAAACGGCGTAGGAGAGTTTGGCTTTATTTGTGATCATCAAATATTTCTCTGTTAAAAAATGAGAAAATGAAGAAAAAGAGGAAATGTTCAGTGTACTATGTGGAGGCAGTTTTCAGTTGAGATTTTGTTTAGACTTTAGCAGCAAATTCAAGTTTTTACAGTTTCTTACATACACTGCTTCCAGTTTTGTGCCTGTGATGATGATTTGAACTGTAATAAAACCACAAAATATGTATTTACCTCTTCCCATGCCTCTATCTTCTTTATCTAATGGAGGAATAAAATTAATTAGAAAAGAATACATTTATTTCCCTTGTCATCAATTATGGATCATTTTGTGCTCCTAAACTTACCTTCAATACCAGATATTTCACCAAAATGTTTGGTGGTGCCCGTTCCATTGTAGAAACTGACAATGCAGGAAAAGTTTTTTCCCTTCGTGAACCAATCTTTAGCAGAAACTCTCAACCTGCTTGTAATTCTATAGGATACAGAGGGGGTTTCAATGCGCTCTGCAGCTTCATCTGTCGCCACACCATCAGTGATGTTCTTTCCATCGATTTGCCAGAAAACTTTAACATGGTCAGGGTAGAACTCAGTGGCCACACAGACAAGGGTCTTCTTCCTTTTCTTGTCTTTCTTGTTTTTGCACTCATTGACTGAGGGTGCCAGTACTGTTACGTTTGGTTTAATGGGATCTTGCTCTGCAAGAACAAAGACAAAGAAAAATCAAAATGATATACATATGACATAAAATTGCCTTTAGATCTACAAAGAAATCAATCAACATTTATGTACCTGGGAATTCTCTACAACAGTCAGACATAAATGTTAATGCATTGAAAATACAGTAGAACTTTTCAGTACTCATTAATGCAGAGGATGAGTTCAGGTATTTATTGTTATTGCAGTGATCTTACCAAGAACTGTTAGTTTGGTGCCCTCTCCAAAATAAGCAGGATAATTGCCAGAGCACACTGCTGCCTGGTGTGTTAAAAACTGACTACTACAATCATTCATTTTAAAATTTTGTTCACGATCAGGCCAGGACATATAAAGTCAACTATCACAACTATAACAACCACAATGAACATTTACATTGCATTTGCATCCACAGTTTAAGGTTTTTTTCTTTCTTTTCATTTCATTTAATCTAGTGCAACTAACAAAATATTATTTTCCAAATGAGACAGTGTTGCCACTTATACATTTTTTTGTGCAAATGCCAAATTTTACAACTTTATGATAACTTATGAGCACGATATTTGATTAAGTATAACAAACTCTTGTGCTCAAACAACTGTTGCATCTCAATTGCCATCTTTATCTTTTTTTTTTATATCTTGTTATATAAATTTTAGACTCCTTTACTCAATACAGCAATCACTGAACAAGACAATAATGCATTTATTTACTCAGCAATAACTTTTCAGATTTAGACTACATGATAATAAAAACATGATTTTTTTTTGTAAATAACATTTTCTTACCCAGTACTGTGAGTTTGGTGCCACTGCCAAAGTAAGCAGGTTCATAGTTGTTCACACTGATAAACTGTTGCATAAAAAACTGCTCAAGCTTTCAGCACTGACAGCTGCAGACCTTATTTTTTGTGCTTTTAAAGATAGATTTAATTTGTGGCAACACACAAATTCAGATAAAATGTATAAATTAACTAAGTAAAATCCCTTTTTGATTATATCATACTACTAAATAATTATCACTTAAAAGATTTTACACAAATACTGTACCAGACTTGTCTTCTTTGCTTTCAAAACAAAAACCTTTTGTTATGTATTTCATGTACTAGGTTTGTATCTTCCAAATAACTTTTATAGTCTTACCTAAAACAGTGAGTTTAGTTCCAGCTCCAAAATAAGCTTCTGACTGGGAACTCACAGTATTTCACAGAGCTGATAAGAACTGAGTGTGAGAACAATATTCTGGGCGCAGAGCCAA